CACATTAGTCTTCTTGTGTACATGTATAGAACGGGCCACTTGCCACTGCTAGGGCTGGACTGCTGCCACTGCTAGGGCTGGACTGCTGCCACTTTGGGTAGTGTCATCATTGTAAGGACACAGGGCACCCAGCTCACAGTAATAGCATATGAGAGTGCGAGTCGGAGGCTAAACGGATGCTATCCTATAGGTCTACTATGAAGGATACAAAAAAGATGAACGGGGAACCCCGTTGAGTCTGCTTCCTTGAGTAACCAAATAGCACGTCGTCCGTAGTAGACCGTAGGTCGCATAATAGTCGGTGGACAGCCTCAAAGAGTATTTATGCTGCATAGGAACCTCGTCCCATATAATTAGACCTGCCTCTTGAAGTTGCCGCCCTACCCTTGAGTTCCGGGTAATAGAACAGGAGGTCTTATCCGTAAGATCAATTGGAATCTTAAATTGGGTATGAGAAGTGCACCCATTTGGTAACAGTAAGGCTGCAATACCTGTAGAAGCCACGCAGAGAACTGATTTTCCTTGGGCACGGAAGAAATGGCATAAAGCCTTATATAGAAAGGTCTTGCCAGTCCCCCCTGGCCCTTGTAGATAGAAGTGGGCAGTCTGCGGCTCAATCTCAATAGCCGTACAGATTGTACGGAAGCATAAAAGCTGGTCCTGATTTAATCTTGAGACTAAATCTTCCGCAAGAGCTGTTTCAACTATAGGATCAAAGGTAGTTGAGACCAGCTATACTGAGGAAGAGGTAGGTTGAAGTCCGTAAGAGTTTTCCCAATATCCGTAAGGCCAACAGAAAGCAAATACAGCCCATAATCAAGATGTGGTTCTTGAAGGGAGCTAATAGAAATGCTCCTCCGTTTTAGCTCCCGTAATAGGTCGTCGCAGATGTGGTCCTTAAACTGGTTCCAAAGGAGGAGCGGCTCAGCGATCATTCCTATCCGTAAACCCGTAAGAAGCAGTGTCCGTAGGCCATAACCACTGGTAAAGATGATAGCTTCATTAAAGCATTCAATCCATTCCTGGTCATTCTCTACTAACCCTCGCGCAATACAGGCTTGGTGGAAAGTCTCATAACATATACTGTTATACGTACGGAGATCCGTAAAGGACGTCGGTCCACGGACGACAGTCAATAACATCCGTAGCTAGAATCTCTCGTCAGCAGTAGCGCTACAATGAAACATACGCCCAATGTTACGATCTAAGCCCCTTTTACGGGGAGTCCATTTCCGCATAGCCTTAGTCCAGACAAATCGAGTAGGAAACTCAGAATATAGAAGGTCCTGCCATCCTCATACATAGCATTGTAACGGAAGAAGCCCATTAAAGTAGTATCTGTACGACTAAGCCTTGCAGTAAGCTCTTGAGTTGAAAGTCCATCTGGAAAGTAGACGGTATGCTGGTACTCTAAGTGTACTGTAAGTTGTGTTACGGGTGGGTATTCGCCATGGGTTACGTACTCCATAATACGCCATATAGCCTCAGTCAGCCCAATATATCATCCGTAGCCTCAACCTGAAGGGTAGCATGGTCGGAGCCCTTATAGATATATTTGTGGATATATTTTACAGCCTGTACTGTGCTACAGACCTCAACGTTCATATGACAGCGGTATTTCTGAAGTAGGTACGGGTTATACGGAACAACCCAACGGTTGTTACAGACAACAGTCACACTTGGCCGGGTACTGTAAAAGTACGGCCATCATCCCGACGCCTGTATATGGATACCCCTCATCATTTACAACACTAGTAGCAGTAAAAGGCTCGGGAACTGTTTCGTACATCGTAGTAGTGAGGTAGGTGTTTACGTGCCATACACGGAGCCTTTGGATGGTCCTCACACATGGCCCATGGGTCATAGTTGAGTAGATTGTTACGTGAGGAAATAGGGCGAAGTGGAGGGAGCAGGTGGCCAGCGTGACGGACGACCACGGCCACGTCTTTGCGGCAGAACAATGTCCGTAACAGGCTGTAAGCTTTCTGTGGTTCTAGGAGTAGGCACTGGTACCAGCCTTTCCTGGGTGCGGAGGACAGCGAGAAGAGTGACTGGTTGAACACAAATTGCAAGTTGCGTACCGGCGACCTAGCGATTGGTACGGAAGAGTGATGACTCGCGGTAAGAACCGCAGTACGCACACCGAATAGGAGGGGACTCATTAGATCCTTAACATTTAAGCAAATACAGAGCAGGATAGGGTAGGAATAGATACAGGCAGAATGAAAGGCGATTACAGATTACGGACAGGGCGTAAAGGAAAACTCTGCACACTAAGGGCTCACAGACTGCAACCGTAAAGAGAACTCTATATGCTAAACCTAGGGTAGTAAGAAATGGGACCTAAACTTAAGCCAGCCAATCCTGAATTTCGACAAATGATAGCCAATCAATTGGTCTTGCCGTTTTATAATGTAGTATAGTATAACGTGCATGTATAACGAAAGTGCCAAACAAGCGAAAGTGCCAAAATATCGCGACTACCCCATAAGAATTGCGATAAATCCACCACAACAATATAAATTAATCAAAACTACTCGGAGTCCTCTTCCTCAGACCTGTCTATTACAATCTGACAAGTGCGCGCATTGTGTCCAGTCTCACCACACTTGCCACAGCGACGTGCATGGGTTTCTTCCCTTGGCTTCCGACCACTACTTGCCCTTATTTCTTGCTCTACTTGCTGCACAACGTCCCTCTCGTCCTGTAGCTCCTGTGCTACCTGTTGACTAAGTGATCCTCCTTGCTGTAGTCGTGTTTTTTTAGCTCTCCGGCGCTTGCTTAGCACTTCATTTGCCTGTCGCAGGTTTTGGTTCTCTGCTTTTAACAATGCTAATTGATGCATTATTTGCGATGCACCCTTTGTAAACTGGTCAACAGCTGCATAGATTGAGGTTGGAGAGCTATTTTGATGATGCGCAATTCAGTTTTTAATGAAAGTAGACTGTGATACAGCTTCAGTTGGGTTATTTGGTGTCTGAGAAACCCATGGTTGAGCGGTGTTTGGGCGAGAGGTTGGAGGTGTTGGCGTCTTAAACCTAAGGTCAAGTGTAGATATTACACTCTCAGGGCTAAATGGAAGAAGCCCAGCACCTCGGAACCCTCCCTGAATATTGCTTTCTGTCATTGCAATGTTAAATGCAGTGTGGAAGGCAGGAAAGAAGTCATCCTTAGTAATGTGAATAATATGAGCCCGCATCATATCTTCAATTTGCCGACCGTAAGCTCTCTTTAATGGGCCAAAACAGCCAACATCAAGTGGTTGGAGTATATGGGAAGAGTGAGCAGGCATACAAAGCGTAATAATGTTGTGTTCTTTGCAGTACTCCTCAAACTTGTCTGAGTGGTGGCTCTCATGACCATCAAGGACTAACAAGCGATAACCACCAACACTCCAGGGCTTTGTGTGCTTCTCAAAATGCTGAATCCAATCCATACCTCTCTCGTTTGTAGTCCAGCCATTTGCAGTAACAGCGATTACCCAATCTGCTGGAAATCTGCTATTCTCATACCAAGATGCAAGGTGGTTTTTACCTGTCACAATGACAAATGGCGGCACTGCCCAACCTTGAGAACTAACGCCTTGGATTACTGTAACCCATTCCCGATTGCCAGGCTGCACCTTTTTTGCCTTTGCCCGCCCATCTGAGCTCGTTACTACCGTTGCGCTTGAGATGACGCCCATCATAAACCCAGTCTCATCAAAGTTGTAGATATCTGCATTGTTGATGCCATACTTTAGAATTGTGTTCCATACAAGCTCAAACCAGCCACGAATGACTTCTGGATCTTCGCACTTAGCCCTCTGGTAGTCGTATTTTTCGCTGGAAGCGTGTCCGGAGCTCTACATGGCGCTTAACAAAGTTTGAAGCCCAACGTGACCCGACGCGTGGCGCGTCACGTGTTGCAAGTAGTCAATTTGCCATATCTTCAACATAGACAACTGAGGAGGGAACCCTTTAGCAGCTAAGTCAAGTATATACTGAACAAGAACTGATTCCTCTAGGTTACTTAATTTCCGTAAGTTGGCTTGGATATCGCATCGTGAAGGTACGCCTTGTAAACAGTGACGTAGCTTGCGGTGGTCTACTGAATAGATCCTAGCTGCAACTCGAAGGCGCAAATTTGGGTCGCTTTGCATAGCTTGGATAGCTAGCACTAATTTGCTTTCATCATTTTTATGGCGCATGTTTTGTTGTGGAGGAATTTAACATTTAGTTGGGGGGGTTGGTCACCGCATGATTTTGGCACTTTCGCTTGTTTGGCACTTTCGTTATACATGCATGTTAGCACAAAATGATAATGCTTTGTGGATGCATCGTATTTAACTGGATATAGAAAATTGCCTCTAACGGCCATGGATCGAGCACGGAAGAACTATCAGTTTCTGAATGGAGGAGTAGGTTTAATCGGTCTGGGGCACCATCACCACCCAAGAGAAAGGAGTCTAAGCACCAGATCTATGATTTAGCAACTCCGGGGAGAGAGATTATTATGGAACCAAGTGCTAACTCACGACTTTACACTCTAGAGATAATTGATCAAATAATTAACTAGGCCTCCATTTAAGCCCTTAGTTTAAGAAATATAACATTTCAGCTAGTGCTGCCCAAAGGAACACGTGAGACCACATAAAGACTTGCCTAACCCCTGACCCAACAACAACGCTGCTGTGAGGCCCTGAAGTGCTCGACCCCAACTGACTCGGTTTAGCCGTTGCAGTCCCGCAAAGGCCTGTAGTCATGCATTGTTAGTGGAAGTATTGTTTATCAGTAGTGTGAGTGAAGCCGGAAGTGAACATGTTGATGGACATAATTGCGCTTGCCAATCACCTCACGACAATCGCTCCCCATCTTATAAGAGCTATAACTAGTGTACAATGAAAGCCAATATTTGCTCATGCACAGTCTGAAATTGGCTTATTGCAATATAAAGACCATTTGCCTTCCCTCTTAGACCAAAATATATCTGGTCTATGCTTGGATCATATGCAAATTAAAATGGATTCACTTGTCTCCGATTATGCTAAGAAGATAGAGCTAGAGGGTAAAAGTTCTAGAACTTCCAAGGCAGAGCTTGAAAGTCTAGAAAACGAAAATATTGGAAACCTCTACAATCGTGTATAATAGCAAGAAAGAGAACGAACCACTCGAACTAAAAGGTACCACGCTAGAACAATTTCCGCTTAGGTGTAGAAGCCGGGGTCAGGGGCAGAAATTGCCAAAAAAAAAATGCAGCTATAGAGGAGGCTGCTAAAGCAAAAAAAAGTAAAAGCAAAGGCTGCTAGGGAAGAAAAAAGCAGCTGAAAAAGCTGAAAAGGAAGCTAGGGAAAGGAAGCAGCTGAAGCTAAAGCAAAGGCAGCTAAGGAAGCAGAAGAAGCTACAAAGGCAAAGGCAGCTGAAGCTAAAGCAAAGGCAGCTAAGGAAACAGTTGAAGCTACAAAGGCCACAGAAGAGAAGGCAGCAAAAAAGGCCAAAGAAGAGGCTGAAAAAAAGCCCAAGGAAGAAGAGGAAGAAGAGGCTAAAAAAAAGCCCAAGGAAGAAGAGGAAGAAGAAAAGGAAGAGCCGCCTTCTGATGACGACAATGACGACATAGTTAATAGACTTCGACATGGGGAGACTATTACCAAACTAAAGGAGGATATTTCTATATCAGTAGAAGTTCTCGTCAAAACATGAGCATGTTGTTGGCCACAAGAAAGGGTTTGGAACACCAGTTATTGTTCTTAATAAAGAATTTCCCCAAGCAAGAATTTGCAGAATCAGGAAGGACATTGGACATGACAAGAGTAGTCCCAACATTATGCTATGGAGACGTGGGGGCGAGCTAAACCTAACTCTGAGGAGAAATGGGCGGTTGACGACCTTGATGCTGTTAAACTGATAGCATAGATGTCCCAGATGATTATAAATCATCTCCGGTAAATTGAGTCAAGCTAATTCCCAAGATGACGGTACAGAAAAAGATGAATTCAAGGCACTTAATATGAAAATTCTGACGCAACCAGATGTACAACTCTACTGCGAATGGAAGGAGCCATTAATATTAGACAACGGTAACTTAGTTTTCTCAAGTTGGGAAAGTAGGGCAACGTGTCGTCTTATTTGGAAGAAGAATGCGGATAATTACTTGCTTTATGTGGCCAGATTGATCAAAGGTTGGTATCAAAAGGTTTCTGGTGGGTAGTATAAAGACGAACCAATGCCGACTATTGAGATATTTTGGGCAGGAAGTTCAATGACGCCGGGATCGGACGTGACACCTACACCTAAGAATACAGCTGGGCGCAAAAAAACACCTCGGTCGCAAAAGCGTTCTAGCAAAAAAACGGAGAAATCGCGACGGTCGAAACCGCCTTAATATGCCCGGGGAGGAAGTCTCGGCAGGGTACATGACATAGGTCTTCGCAATTCAGAGCACAGAAGGAGAAGACGATGATTCAGACAAGGATTCAGACAAGGATTCAGATGATTCAGACAAGGATTCAGACAAGGATTCAGATGATTCAGACAAGGATTCAGATGATTCAGACAAGGATTCAGATGATTCAGACAAGGATTCAGATGATTTGGACGAGGATTCAGACGAAGCAGAGCTGGGACGTCGAGAAGAACTATTTCTGAAAATCGAGGGGAAATACCGGACTAAAAATAAGATAGCGCCAAAGGCTAAACTAACGGCTACACAATATGACACTGTAGAGGCCAAATACCGGACTAAAAATAAGATAGCGCCAAAGGCTAAACTAACGGCTACACAATATGACACTGTAGAGGCCAAATACCGGACTAAAAATAAGGTAGCGCCAAAGGCTAAACTAACGGCTACACAATATGACACTGTAGAGGCCAAATATCAACACAATTTAATGGTAAGGTTTTGTTTTTGCTTTCATGTTTTTCAGAGTTTCAAGGACCTTAGGTTTATTCATTCCTTTTTGTTTTAGTCTAATAATCTACACTCTTTCAATCTCCTAGGCTAACTCTGGCTTCCATTAATTCACTGGAATATGTCATCAATGCCTTTAAATTGGTTACTTCATTAATTTTTGTTAATTTAAGTTGTTGAAGCCTCCGACAAGTTTTGGTCATAACTAATACGAGCCCTGCTATCGCCCTTGCTACCCCATTAGAATACCGAAGTTTGTAGCTTAGATAGTGTTTAATTAGTCCTCTAGCCTATTAATATCAAAATTTTCTTCTAAAATCCATGCAACTCCTAAGCTCTGCTACAAAGAAGACCTTGACATATAAGTTTAGCGGCTTGTTCTGGCTCTACCAGCCGGCATCCTGCATTGTAAGCCACGCGCACTTTTTGGCTCCTCTATCCTAATTTAATGTATAAATACAAATCGTAGGTGTGGCTTGCTACCAATCAGCAATAGGTGGCGCTCTCGGCTTATTAACACTGGCATACTATAAGAGTACAAGTACGACGCCTAGTATCTTTGCTATCAAATCTACATCTTCCCAATCATGCACATCACTTTAGCATATGCCATCGCCTTGGGCGGCTTCCTCCTCAGCCCAGTTCTTATGAATCTGCTTCCTATTCTCCCAGTTGTGATACCACCTAGATGGCGCTCTGTGCATAAGGGGATTAGGTACCTAACATATCCTTACTATATCTACCGGCATCGATTTATAGGCCCGTGGACAAGAGCAGACATTATTATCCACCTTGTATACATAGTTGCCAACTCCTTCTGCCTTGTGTTCCAACCTCCCGTTCCGACCATTATGCAGGCTGGTCTACGAGCTGGTAGCCTCTCACTAATAAACTTGATTCCCTTATTTCTAGGCCCACATATAAGTTTTCTTGCTGATATCTTTGGTGTCTCATTGACTGCATTTCGCGCACTACATCACTCCGCTGGGCTAATGTCATGCGCAATGGTGATTTTCCATGCAGTTGTCATGGTTCTGTCACCTAGGAGGTTCATATTACGCGGTGTGAAGAGAATTTCTGCAGTAGTTGTAAGTCTGCCTTGATGCTTAAGTGCCGTGTTGCTTACTGTATGTAATAGGGCGGGTCCTCTCTTGTCTTGATTACTTTACTGTCTTGGTATCCTCTCCACAGGTGGTGTTACGAGATCTTTCTCCAGTTGCACCATACACTAGCAGCTGTACTTGTTGTCTCTGCTCTGCTGCATGTCCCGTCAGAATTGGTTCCTAGGATATACATCTACGTCAGCCTAGGGATCTATGCGACAACCCTAACAGCTGAAGTGCTGCTTTTAGTACGCCGCAATGGAGTATTAATAGGAATATTCACGAATACTAGGTGGGGAAAATTGCCTAGAGTTGGAGAGATATTCAAATATCCAGTTGGCGAAAATTCAGATGGTTACAAAAATCCGGTCCAGTTTATAATACACTGCCCGAAGCCATTGCAAATAGATGCGGGACAATACATTAATATGTGGGTTGGCTCTCTTGGAATTATGCAGACCCATCCATTTGTAGTAGCCTCCTGGACAGGTAACCAGCAGACAAAGTTAATGCTCATCATTGAACCTCGCTGTGGTTGGACTAAACGGCTCCAGTCGAAGGCAATGGATGTGAGCGGGCAGCCATGGGACTAGGAAGGGTCCTATTCACTGGGCCACATGGTGCTTCCATACCAGTGGGAGATTACGAGTACCTCTTTATGGTCGCAAGTGGTTATGGCATTGTAGCACAGTTGCCACTTTTAGAGCGACTGGTACACGGTGTACTTGCCCGCGAAGCTCGAGCCCTTCGAATTCGCCTCGTTTGGGAATTTGAAGACACAGGTGTGTCTGACTTACAAATTGGTTACTTGTCTAACTCTATATAATAGATCTCTACGATGCAGTGGTTCCGATACTTAACTGGGTCTTGTATGAGGCTCAGAAACTAGGCAAGAACTGCGTATGTTTAAAAGTATGCCTATACGTATTGTCTTACTAAGTCTGCTAGGCACTTACAATCTCACTCTACTCAACGCAATTGGTCCTCCTTAATAAACTCAGCCAAAGAGCAATGGTATATGACACGCATATCCTACTTAAAGGAGCATTCGACGCTGAAATAGCGCCGATGGACGCTAGAAAAATGGGAGAAAATGAAGCCGCACAAATAGCAGCAGAGAAAAGAGCTCAGGAAATAGGAAGGGGACGAGAAGAAATTATGGAAGAAATTATGAAGAAGAGAGTAGGGAAGGTTGGAAGATGGCAAGGCAACATCACGAATGAGGCTCAAGATGTTCAACAACCAGACGAGAAAATTGACGAGTTAGAAACCTTACCCCTGTGTACGAAATCACCTAGAATGTGTAATGGTGGGTGCACCAGATATGAGAATCTAGCCACCCAAGGAAGGGATGAATTTACTAAGACAACACACTGTCTTAGAAAACAGAGCCAAAGGGTCGTAGCTTAGACTATTCCACAACGCAGCAATCAGGTGTATGATGTGGTGAAGTGGTTTAGACAAGTTGCAACAAATGTTGAGTCTGAGAACTCAGGGGTAAGTCAGAGGTTAGCACCTCACTGACTTTTCAAAAACAGAGAATAACAAGATCAATGCTTGGAAGCTTGGAAAAGACGTAGAAGTATGTGCTAGTCGATTTACTGTATTGCCTGCTTGCCCTTTCTTAAGGAAAGGGCAATCCTATTTATGCCAAAGGAGTGTAGTTCTCTCATTTTCCATGACTTTCCATGACTAACCAGGCTTGGTAACTGTAGTCGACGTAAGAGAATCCCATAGAACCATCTCTTAGGTTCGTAGCCTATAGGAAGTAAAAGGAGGTCCAAGGTCAGAGTACCCCTATAGACAAATTATGTCATAGACAAATTATGTCATAGACAAATTATGTCATAACTTAACCAATCTTGTGGGTAACTAAAGAGCGATGACATGTAATGAATCATAGAGGTTTGTAGGAGCTTTTAGAGCTATCGTTCATGCTCCTAGGCCTCTAGTTGGTAGAGATATGTCATGTGGTAGTATGAGTGATGTCATGTAATGAATCATAGAGGGTTGTAGAGATATGCTATGTGGTAATATCGGCCCAGTAACTAAGGAGCGATGACGTGTAATGAATCATAGATGGTTGTAGCAATCGTTGAGTAGTATTGCTCTTGTTGTTGGTGTGATAAGACAAAATATGTATAGTGACTTGTAGGTTTGAGGAGGAGATTTCCAAGTTTGCTCTTGAGTTTGATAGCAAACTGAGTGCAACGAATGTCAGTATGACAGAATGCTTATTACAGGTAAGTCTGCAATGCCATAAGGCAGCTTTTTGCTTACAGCATATAGTATCTGCATCGACAAAGATTTGCGATGAGCTGAGATTGATTCTACATAGTTCTCTTAGCAAAGACATTACTCTAATGGAGCTAGATTATCAGCCATCAGATAAGAACTAGAGTCTCTGCAAAATTGTGATCTATATTAGAGTAGGGCTATTTTTGAAGCCGTAAATTCTACAATGAGGAGCCAAAACGGGCTGCGGGCATTAATTAGTAATAATTACCATAAGACAACTTCAGACTTCCCATTATTTTTAGACTTCTCATTATAATCCCATAATTCCACACCGCTAAAAACCAAAAGAAACATGGTATTGGAAGTTGACCTCGGCTCCGTAGCAGATTATGTGGCGCATGTAGAGCTGCGTCCATTAATAGATGCATTTCGCCAGAGAAAGAGAATTGTAATCATTGCGGGAGCTGGAATCTCAGCATCCGCAGGAAGTAGGTAGCCCCTCCCTTCTATCTACAGTCACTAATCAATATAGTCGCTACATTCCAAGATTTGCCAGTGAAAGGCAGAGACGTGTTTAGCATGAACTCATATAATGACGATGCTTCTACAACGCTTCTTAACGAGACAATGTGCAGAATGTACAGCAGTATAAGATCTGCAAACCCAACTCAGTTTCACCACGTTATTGAAGAGCTTGCTAAAGAAGACCGCTTGCATCGTTTGTACACTCAAAATATTGATGGATTAGACACGCAGCTACCGTCCCTCGGAACTAAAATACCACTGCCAGAAACGAAGCCATGGCCGACAACGATTCAGCTACATGGAGACCTAAGGACTGTTAAATGTCAAGGGAATCCAACACATCTAGGTTCGTTTAACCCAGACTATGACTATGCAGATACGACAGCTATTGCCATGGTTAGTGCCTCAGATCTCAGGTCAAAACCCGATGCGGTGATTGTTGTAGGAACTGCACTTAAAGTCGAGTCAAGAAGAAAATTTACAATAGATATGTGCGCAGCAGTTCGAAAATGCGGTGGTTTAAGTGCCTGGATTAACCTTGAGCCTCCTTCACAACCACTTAAATGCTTCAACATAGTCGTAAAAGGCGACTCTGACACAATAGCAATGCATGTGTCTAGCTGGTGGTTGAAGGATTGTCCTAATATTATAAGCAACGCAAACATAAAGTACCTACAAGATAAGTACAAGCTGTTCATTGCAAGGTCAACAGAGGAAGCTCGTGGGCTTTTGGAGCAGGACCAGAAGAGGGATCCGACAGCACTTGGCACGACGCAGAACATACTTCTTGATTCTGGGGAGGCAGCAAAATTGATTACCTTTAAAGCCATCAATCACAATGCTAAGAAGGCAACTCCAGCGTTACCTCATAAGACCATACGTACACAAGCACCCTCATCTATAGTCCCGCCTAAAACTTCATCTGCATCCTCTATAATCCCACCATTATGGCAGTCTACTTCGTCCATAGTCCCTCATTTGTTATTATCTGCATCTCAGAGCCAAGCCGCACAAGCGTCAGCGTCTAACGTCTCACATAAACCAGTTTCTGCACCCATCGCTTCACTTGCACAAGCATCTGCATCTAACGTCTCACTTATCTCTGCATCCCAGGCCTCACAATTACCGACGTCTGTCTTATCAAGTGTGCTGCACCCTTTTATGACGACTCCGGCCCATAGTGGTCTAGAGATCGTACCAAAAATTACACCTGGTTGGGAGTTAGAAACCTCAAAGAGGCTAGATAGTGTTATTGTCCGGGGAATCAAAGTTAAGAACCACCGAAGTTTGTCAGTCCTTACAACAATTACGAACTTAGGTTATGAGGCTAATATAGCTTTGTCACTTTGGCGTCTAAAACATGGAGAATACCTTGATGATGAGGTTATCAATGCGTATATTGAACTTCTTCAGAGGTCTAATCTCCCTCACGGTCAAGGTATCCAAACTTATCTTAAGAATGGTGTTAGAAAGGCCATGGAAACCTTTTATAAAGCTGACGGACACAGGAAAGTATTCTATATTTATTCCTTTTAATGATGCTTTCCATTGGACTTTTGCTGTTATCAAATCGCAGGAGAAGGGCACCATTGTGCAGTGGGAATACTTTGATAGCCTTGGCGGGAAACCACCCCAAGTATTTTTAGACTGGATTGGTAATTGGTTTCCCAAAAAGCAAAGGGTTCCAGCATTACCAAATCCCAAGCAAAACAACGAAGTTGATTGCGGTTTGTTTGTCCTCCTCGGTATTCGCCTTATGGCTTCAGGGAAGCCACATCTGTCTAACCAGCAGGCCATAGCGCATACCCGAATTTAGGAAGAGAGTCCTAGCAGAGCTCTTAGCTTTTGGGTGTCGATATCGCCCTGACGTCTTTCATACCATGACGCCCCCCCTTCCCACTCTGTTCAACAAAACGGACCCCTATTTCGTCTCTTCTACCCTGCAGTAATCAGTTCCGCTTAATCGGATTCCTAAGCAAATTTAGGGTGCAGCGGCTCATCGAAAGGATATTCCTTGTGTCCTCGATCAAGTGATTCATTCCCTTCTAGCTGAACCGTGCAGTATGAGCCTGAGCCTGACTTCCGCTGCAGCCAATGACCCTCTCTAGCTCGCTAGGACATTCTATGCATCCTTGATCAGCTCGTCATTGCAACCCTCATCCAGCTGAACGGTGCAGCATTAATAGGAGCCTAACCTCTCCTCCAGCCAATGACCCCCCGCAGCTCAGCAGGACATCCTTTGCATCCTTGATCAGCTCGTCAGTATGGCCCTCCTCCAGCTGAACTGTGCAGCATGAATAGGAGCCTGACCTCTCCTCCAGCCAATGACCCCCCACAGCTCAGCAGGACATCCTTTGCATCCTTGATCAGCTCGTCAGTACGGCCCTCCTCCAGCTGAACGGTGCAGCATGAATAGGAGCCTGACCTCTCCTCCAGCCAATGACCCCCCGCAGCTCAGCAGGACATCCTTTGCATCCTTGATCAGCTCATCAGTACGGCCCTCCTCCAGCTGAACGGTGCAGCATGAATAGGAGCCTGACCTCTCCTCGATGACCCCCACAGCTCAGCAGGACATCCTTTGCATCCTTGATCAGCTTGTCAGCATGGCTCCCCTCCAGCTGAACTGTGCAGCAAGAATCGGAGCCTGACCTCTCCTCCGGCCAATAAACTTCTCCCCTGCCTCCCCTCCCCTTCAGTAGGACATTCGTCGCATCCTTGACCAGCTCACCATCACGTCTCTTCTCCCGCTAATCCATGCAGCCGGAGCTGACCAGCTGAATATCAAGCAGCTAGGTCCTGAGACTGGCTCTTTCATTGATGGGTATTTAGGGCCTCTGGAGGTATGTTTTGCCGGCGTTGGTTTGGACGGGTTGGGGTCATGTTCCTCCCTCGCAGCATCGCCATTCTGCCTTGACGGAGAGTTCAGCTCCTGCGCTTCTCCATCACGTTTTGAACGATACGATGATGGTATCTCACTGCCCCCGCTCTAAGCAATGCCATATTGCATATTCTAACAATTTATTGTCGATCTCTCGTAGCCTGAATATATTCATGATTACGCTGCGTTTTGAAGCACCTTGCTATTTTGAGTTTGTATCGTATTGCTTCAGTGACTGACCACAGGTGCTTCAGAAAGGAAGCACTTAATGGCGTTGAGTATGGTATTCTTATGGAAAGTAGAACGGCAGATATTGGCCGTTCAGAGCCATTATTAAAAGAGAGGCAGAAGTGGCGTAAATGGAAATTTCCAATTTTTGCGGGCAGCGAATACTGCCGAAGAGCATAATGTGGCGGTCATCCGCGCTAATGCAGGCCCGGCTCAGGCTTGCTCAGGCTTGCTCAGCCGGGCTCAGTCACAGATCAGTCTAGCTCACCCAAAGCTCAGGTTAAAGCAGCAACAGCTCAGGTCCAAAGACGGAAGTGGAAATTGACCATGTCGAGAGTCCGGTAGTAGATTACCTGTATTTATGTTGTCGCGGGGACATACCTTCTGAATGTGAGAGTTGCGACTCAGAGAAATGGGGATGAGGAGACGGAATATCCGTTTGTGTATAATTGGAGGATAAGGGGGAAGTTAGAGGAATAGACGGTTTAACTGAGAGCGTGACAACATAGACATTGGGTGTCACTATACGAGAATGTATTCTTTGATTCACAAGTTGAATTTTTTCTGTTCTTGTTCAATTTTCTCGGCATAATACTTTGTGATTATTAGCAATTTTCTAGGACAATACCAAATCATATAACATGAGCTTCTTACTTCCAGCACCCCATCTCAAACCAATATACCCCAGTACGTCTTTCAGTGGCTGTATCAGCTTTAAGTTACCATCTGTAAGGGTCGTAAGCCTAAGGGTCTCACGGGAGTCCAGGGAACCAGGTCAGGAGGCAGGAAGGTATCGTATTCTGTAAGCACAATAGGTCTACGTAGATACATCGACTATTGACTGGAGGCCTTCTTCCGAGGCCTCCAACCCCTTTTATCTATGCACCTTGTGCCCTATTTTACCGAGCCCTATGGGCCGCTTATGAAAGGGACCTCACGTGGTGGCACGTGATGGCCTTCCTTACACCATCCTTGGATACCTTCGCATCATGGAGACAGACGATGGCGGCTTTATATACGCAATGTGAAATAAAAATTGTGGAATTCTCACTCCGTGCCCAGGATAAGAGGCAGTGATGCCGCCCAGGCCACCAAGCGCCAACCCGGGGCCAAGCCCAGTATCACCCAACTCAGAAGATAAAACTGGGCACCACTGCTCTGAGACTAGCTCAGAAGCAGAGTTTTTCTGCTATATAAAAGAAGTTACAGTGGCTAGATGAATAAAAACATGCTTTCACAGATCACTGTTCTGAACCTGGTTGACACGCCCATAATTATCATATTATTGGACAGAGTTGCCAACCCTGCCGAGTCAGTTTTCACACCCCTTGCTCCATGTGCAATCGCATGCATCAGGGACGTCAAGATATTAAGTGACGCTTAAATACAGTACTCATTATCCAGTGGCTCAACCTTAGATCCGAATTCCAGGACTTCCAGCATAGCACTAGAGTTTCAGTTAGCCCCTGTTCTTTGTATGCATACTCCTGGGATTTACCTTCTGCATATTGCTAGGGAACTATTCGAAAGAGTTTGCAGGGCGTTATTTTCACCCTCGAAAGATGCTAAGAACGAGGTTAACGAGTTTAGGATCTGCATTGCCTCCACTCTTCTAAACTCCTGTTGCGATGTACGCTCGTGGATGTGAGAAAGCACTTGATCTAACAGCAGTGATGAGTAGGCCATCTTAGTGGACGGGTTCATCTGCGCTAAATCTTTAGAGCTCTGATATCTAGGTCAGTTATCTGTATAAATTATAAAGATGGCTTTATATCAAGCACACTATTGCCGCATACCCCTTTTATCGATCGTCCCAGAGATGCACTGTGTCTAGCGCTACTCTCAAGAGATGCGTATCTATTAAGTGCCATCCTTAGCTTCAACATTACTTGATGAGCATCACGAGGGGATCCAACCTATTAGTGATAACAACGCCACGCCAGGTCTGCCGTGCCTCCTCAGCTAAATGCAGATCCGGAAAAGCCCTGGATAGATCCGCAGATGATGCAGCACGCCCCCAGAGCGACCGCTGCCTGGATATTGGCTCCAGCCGAGATGTATGCTGATGGGTACATCGCATGTCCGATTTCGAATGTCGTCAGCAGTAATCGACCCTGTAGCATTGCCAGAGATTCATCCTTGTCGCCTTTAGCATACCTACCCAGCTCTTGATCAGAATATACAGACATCATGTCTACAATGACATATCGCCATCCACTGGCATCGCACACACGAGGAATATAGAGAGAGTTAAGAGACCGAAGCCCGATGGGGCGGCTTCAACACGGAATCTCGATAGTTGCGCATAACAACCCGTCTCCGACACGACCGGCAACCAAGTATGCACCCTCCGAAAAAAAATTACAGCCGCCTCTCGTAACCGCAAACCATCGCCAATAACTGAGGATACTTGGGATTTGAGGGTATAGCGTAAATTAGATGACGTCAAGTCCAATAAATCGGGTACAGGCAGCAGACGTGGAGTCTCCGGATGCGCCGGATGAGAACAGGGTTTATTTAACCTTAATTTATCAGCAACCATGAAGACACCCCACATAAAACTAGCGTACCGTTTACAGAGGGAACAGATTGGCAAGAAGTTTATCACATTGCCGCTTCTGTCTACTGCAGCGGAGGCAAGATTGGTCGGCGCGGGTGGACATAATCGTTGTTGCTGTGGGTGCGGGTGCGGATGCGGGTGCGGAGGGGAACACTCTTATAAATCTTACGCCGAATTGATTATTAAAGATGGGAATGCATAGTTGCTGCCTAATCTAGTTTAGCCTCCGCGTCCGCATCCGCACCCGCACTGGCTTAGAAATGTGATAATTTATGCATGGTAACTTAGTTGTAGGGATGGGAAGGTTGAAAATGGTGTGCTCGGGGATTGTGATTGTCCACCCACAACGCAGTCTAACACATCTCCAGGCCTCAGGCGACTTAGGCGCCCCCATCCTCCACGCCCTCATCTCGAGCAACATCTTCAACATAACCGTCCTCACGCGCCACTCATCCCAAGCCCAATCCCCACCCTCCGTCCGCGTCATCCGCGTCGACTACGCTCCCATCCCCGACCTCGCCGCTGCTCTAAGCAACCAAGATGCCGTGGTATCAGCCCTTACCAGTGAAGCGATGGAGACGCAAGCCCTCCTCATCAAGGCCTCTATCGCCGCGGGCGTGAAGCGGTTCATCCCCTCCGAGTTCTCTCCGAACATAGGTAATCCCAAAAGCGCCGCGTTGCCCGTTTACCAGTCGAAGATCGAGGTGTATCAGCTCCTCGAGCGACTGGCGAGCGATAATCAGCTGTTCACGTATACGTTGATCCGCAACGGGCCGTTGCTGGATTGGTGTTTGATGAAGGGGTTCTTTGTCGGTTTTCAGGGGAAGACCACGCCCTTTTACGATGGCGGAGACCGTCCGTTTAGTACGACGACTCCAGCACCTCGATGAGACGAGGAACCGCGTGGTGTTTGTCCATGATCTCGTCACTTTGGGGAGGGGTATGGAGGGGAGTTTGAGGAGGTGGATAATCTAATACTTGGGGTGGTGGTGTTGAGGTCATGTGCCCATCCAGAACGTAATCACGTGATACAAAGTATCGACATTCTAAGTCACCTGATTATTTACTCGACGGCCCTAATTAATATACTTTGTACGGTGGGCAGCCTCCATGTCCGTACGCCCCCTCTCCCTGCAAGACAGAAGAAAACAGAAGAAAAAGGAAGAGGGTGTGGAGCCAAAACGGTGACAATCAGCCGAGGAAACATTTCATTCCTTTTGCCACGATACGGAGTCGCATTTGCGTGGTGCGAGTCATGTCGTATCGCGACCCTGCGTCCATGGCGGGCGGGCCACATCCATCGCCGTCTCCCTTTCTCCCTTTCCCTTCGTCCGTCCACAGCGTCACACAATCGAAGTTGTATTCTTGGGTTTTCTGGAAGTCGCCGTGCCCAGCCACTAGAGCGACTGCGCCCACACCTCAGCGGCGTCAGCACGCTCGCACAGGCTACTCAGGGCGCGCTAGCAAGGGTGTACGTGGAGTTTCGCAGGGTTAGTGGTGTTGGTAGCGTTAGTAGCTTGCTAGACGTCCGCTGTGCACACACCCCTTGCGCGTTCGGGGATGGACTGAGATTAAGCTGCATTTTGACAGGCCAGGGAGGGTTATTTTAGGGAGCGTACGTACGTATGCTTCTTTCTTTCTTCTTTCCTTCTGCTTTTGCGCCTGCTGTGGATGATAATGATAATGACGCTCAAGGGTCGTCGTTTCAGTATGTAACACACATCCATCCATCCTTCCTCTTCCTGTAATATCAATATTTCCCGCCCGTCCCTACGTCCTCCTCCCCCCTCCTCCCCCCAAGAACGGTGGCAGGTGAAACTCTGGCACCTCCCCGATGGAGTGCCAGAACGCCAGAACGCCAGAACGCCAGAACGCCAGAACGCCAAAGCCACGCCAAAACGCCAAAACGCCAATATGCCAATACGCCAAAACGCCAAAACGCCCTACGCCATACGCCAATACGCCAATAAACCCGCCAACACTCTACTTACTGCACGTTATTGCAATTAACCAGCCGTACACTTGTTCCCGCCCACTTTATTGCCGTCTCGACCTTGTCGAGTGTCGACATGTGTCTCGCCTTGACTCGAACATGGTGTGGATGTACGCGCACACAGCTTGCACAGCCACAGCCGCCTGCAAAAGCCCGAGGACACCAAACCAACAAAATAGCCCTAACAGGGAAGTCAGAAAGGAGCCAGGTGGAGCAGAAAGAGGATATGACAGCAGGGCAGGGGAAAGTACATGGGGATGGTATGTGATATGAGACGGGGGAGGAGACGGAGGAGGAGACGGGGGAGGAGACGGGGGAGGAGAAGGGGGAGGAGACGGAGGAGGAGACGGGGGAGGAGAAGCGGGAGGAGCAGGGGGAGGAGACGGGGGATGAGACGGGGGAGGAGACGGGGGACGGGGGAGGAGACGGGGGAGGAGAGAACAGAGTATCCCATTATAACCAACCCATGTACCAGAACTGTCCTAAGCAGGTACAACACCTTATCCTGTTTTCTACATACAAACGCAAGTACCGTCCCACACCCTCCCCCTCATTATCCAGTCAATCTCTCTCCGCCACTAACCTCGTACCTAGCGTCCCTTAGCCCCCCATTGGCCACACCCCTACTAAACTACTATGTCACTATTTTAGCAGAAGTACTTATCCGTTCTATCTACCCATCTAACCAACTTATGTACCTCCACTACTCCAACTACCCCAACCTACCCTACTCCACCTACTACAATACTCCTACTTGCGTGTTGGCCGACGATAAGGTGATGGGGTTGGTTGATCGCCCCTCGCCCCTCTCTCCTGCCTCCATTTCCCTCCTCCTTTCTCCTCCTTCTCCTCTGTCTCCTCTTTCTCCTCTCTCTCCCTCTCTCTCCTCTCTCCTCTCCCGCCTAATTTCGACTTTTCTTTTGACGTGCCATGTTGTCCCTTCCCTTGTGCCTTTTGTCCCAGGGTACTGTAAGTACTTACTCTACGGTGCTGTGCTGCTCCATCTAATTCTCATATTGCGATTCCCCCCTTCTGCTCCTCTGCTACCTTGTGATCTACTAACTGCTACCTCCTCACACCATCTTTTTACTTTTTACCTTACCTCCTCCCCCCAACTGTTACACATTCATTCCACTTTCCCTTCTTCTCAACACTCACTCAACGGACTCTACCTTCTACCTTCTTCTATACCGTTGTATCCTACGTTTGCTGTTCTTGCTCTCGTCTTTCAACTCTTGCCCAATCCTCCGCGGCGCTCTTCCTTCTTTTCACTCGCTTCGTGCGTTTGCTCCTTCCCCCAAACCGCCACCAAGATGAGCCGCTCTCGCGTTCTCTCTCGCCGCCAGATCGAAGGGCTCATTGCAAACAATCAATCCATCGTAATCTTCGACAACAAGGTCCTGCGCTTGGACAAATGGCTCGAGAGGCATCCCGGAGGCAAGCTGCCGATTCAGCACATGGTGGGCAGAGATGCCACGGACGAGATCAAAATGTAAATTAGGCGGACTCTCACTCTTTCTCTCTCCGAACTATCAAGCTCCTCCCATGGTCCTTGCCGCATCATGTACCTGCCATTGAGTTGTTCCAACTCATCTGTCCTTGCCCCCTTCAAAACGAGCGAACAAAAACTAAACATATCGTGTCGATCTATAGCTACCACTCTTCGGAAACCCTACCGAGGATGGATAGCTTTCGAATTGGATACATAGACATGCCATGGGTCAACTTTGAGCCCCCGATTTCGGGTGGTATCTTCCGCCCATACGAAGGGGAAGCGAATATGCGAAAATGCGCAAAGACGATCACAACCACCCTCTGCCCCTCGAAGACATCAGCTCTCCCTGGAGCCGATGGGACCTGCAACAAGAAGGGTGCACCGCCACCTTGCCCGAATGAAGAGTCACCGCTCAGCAACATTCAGGATAAATTGGACGTGAACCAGCTGGTTACTGGCACGTTGGACAAATTCCCAAGAAGCTGCACGCGGGTCGAGTTCATGGACCTCGCTGAGCAGCTGGAGATAGATTCGGACATTGGCAGATTCCCATCTGTGGACCCGGCAACCCAGAGGACTATCATCAACAGGTACCGCCAGTTACACCAGAAGGTTCAGGACGACGGCCATTACGAGTGTCGCTTCTGGGAATATGGAAAGGAGTGTATCCGCTACGTCTCCATCTTCGCCCTCTCCATGACGGCGTTGAAGTACGGGTGGTATATGACCTCCGCCATGCTTCTGGGCCTGTTTTGGCACCAGATCATGTTCACGGCGCATGACGCTGGCCACTTGGCTATCACCCATAACTACATTGCCGATACTCTCATTGGGATCTTCATTGCGGATTTCTGCTGTGGATTATCCATTGGATGGTGGAAGAGCAGCCATAATGTCCACCACTTGGTTCCCAACCACCCAGTAAGCACCCGTTGACTCCGCAGATAAGACCCTCCGCTAACCACATATCTCAGGCCCACGACCCTGATATTCAGAACCTCCCCCTCTTTGCCAACTCTCCCATGTTCTTCCAGTCCCTCCGCTCCACCTACTACAACTTCGACTTCGCCTGGGACCGCGCCTGCGAGATCGCCATCAAGTTCCAGAAGTACACCTACTACCCCGTCATGGGCATCGCACGCTTCAACCTCTATCTCCTCTCCTGGCTGCACCTGATCTCCCCGCGCTCCTCCAACAAGGGCACGGCAGCCTGGACGCGCCCCACCGAGATCCTCTTCATGGCCTGCTACTGGTACCTCTTCGGCTACCGCCTCCTCTGGCTCACGCTCCCCACCTGGACCATCCGCGTAGCCTTCGTCCTCGTCTCTCACATCATCACCATGCCGCTGCACGTCCAGATCACCCTTTCTCACTGGGGAATGTCGACCGCCGACCTTGGCGCTACGGAGTCCTTCGCACAGAAGCAGCTGCGCACCACCATGGATGTCGATTGCCCCGAGTGGTTGGATTTCATCCACGGCGGACTCCAGTTCCAGGCCGTGCACCACTTGTTCCCGCGTGTGCCCCGCCACAATCTGCGCAGGGTGCAGACGTTGGTTCGGGAGTTCTGCAAGGATGTTGGGATTGAATATACCATCTTCGGATTCGTAGATGGGAACAAGGTCGTCCTCAGCAGGCTGGGCGATATCGCGAAGCAGGTTGAGATTATGGTCGCGTGCCAGAAGCACAAAGTTGAGACGGGGGATATGAGCATCTAAAGCTAGCCAACCCACCGATCTGACGACATTTCTTGCTTCGTTACGAATTTGTCTCTTTTAGCGTGTTTTGTTTTCTTTTTGACTACTTGCTTGTATTTTTTATTTTGGGCGGATGATGAGAGATGGTCGGGCGCATACAAGTTTTTCAATTTGTCACATTTTCAAATCCATAACACTGCATTTTTTATTGGCCGGGCGGAGGGGGCTGAGTCCCTGAGCCCATGGCGAAGGGAGGTGGCCTTTTTATGGCACTTCTCCCTTTTCTTTTCTTTGTTTGCGCGTACGATGAGGAGGATGAGGACGTCGCATGGTGGTGGTGGATATACATCAGCGATGTGCAAATTTTATAGATGAGCGATAATAATAGATGGTGTGACGACAATTAGCTAGAAGTGCATTCCTAGCTTCTAGGTTTAGAAACATAAGAAGCTCTTAGAATTCTGGCGTTTCTAACATTCGTAGAGAAAGAGAACAGCGTGCAATCCATCGTATAAAGAGCTGTTGAAAAGTTGCAATATCACAAGATTTATGAAGCTTACGACGCTTTGCATAAAGCAGCGCCTTATAACTTATAATAGAGATCGTGGTGTTCGAGCTTCGGGTTTAGCGTCCCGCCCTGATCGGGTATCACGCGTGCACGTGCCTGCCGCCGCTTTCAACTTCTATAAGAAGGCCACTCCCTCGCCCCCGAACTCTGTCCCTCTCCACCGTCGCTCCTGCCTCCTTACGTTCTCGCATGTACTGCGCTCGTCGTGCCACGCTTGGCCCCCTCCGTCCCTCCCCTTCACACTGCATGGCCCCGCCCAACGGATCCCCTGCTCGGCCTCGCCGCAGCTGAAAACCCACACTGGCACATGAACGTATTCGCAAAGCCGCGTCGTCAATTCACGCCCTTTGATGGCTGTGACTACGCCTTCCATGCCACCGAGCTCTTCGCGATGGCGAGCCCTCTGAGATCGGTCAAGATGCGAGATTGAGCGTTCAGATCGCACCTCCTCTTGCGCCTTTCTTCGTCGCCGCCCACATCTGAAGCCTGTTGCAACTGTACCATGCGCAATCTGCCTTGAGAGCGCCTTGCGCTATGACCTAGCCAATTGCAAAAATGCCTCGCAATAACGTTGCCGGCCCTTTGGTAGACCACCGCGCGGCACCTTTTGCGACATTGCGAGTTACATGCACTGAGCAGCGACGTTTGCCTCAGTCTAGGCTGATCTTCGAGAGAAGGGCCGATTTGAGATCGAAGCGGAGACCCCTCTTGATAGCCATCGCGACCGCGACTATCCGTGTATTGCAGCCATTCACCTTCGAGGCACTCATTCGGGAATACTACCGGGTCTGCGGATAAATGGATAAGAGAGTGGACAATCGCAAAGCCACCACCTTCATGGCGCTGGTTTCAAGGATTTATGAAGGCTCATCCAGATCTATTTCGAGTTATTAAGACTAAGGCAATTGCTCAAGTGCGTGTCACTTCTCACGACATATCTGCAGTCACAAATTGGTTTGCAGAGTACTTAGCTTGGTGTACGCAGCATAATATCCAGCCACAGGATATTTACAACTTTGATGAGACTGGATTCCGAGTAGGAGTAGCACTAGGACAAGAGGTGGTTGTTCCAGCATATATCACAGAAGTTCGTACAGTTTATTATTCTTAGATGCTTTAAGCTTACTTATTTAAGATGTATGTTCCTATGGCTGAAAACCGCAAATCTGTCACAGTGATCGAGTCTATCTGTGCTATTGGGAAAGAGTATCCACCTGTGATTATTGTACAAGGACACCAGCATATGGAGTCTTGGTATCATGAAAAATTGAATGGCGACGAATTAGTCTTGCTTTCAGATTCAGGATATACAAACAGCGAGCTTGCGATGATATTTTTGGAGCACTTTATAAAGCATACAGATGCTGGCCCTAATAAACCGATGAAAGTGTTTCTTATGGACAGCCATATAAGCCATACAACTCCAGAGTTTCTCCTACGGGCTATGTTACGATATCAAGTGCGCCTTGCAGCTCAAGTGGGGGTTCAGGGGTGTGGGGAGCTTTCCGGGGTTGGAGCGAAGTTTTCAGTTGTGGAGTGAATTCTCAGAACTGGTCTCGCTAAAGAGAATTCACTCTGTATATAGATCGAGCCACTGCTCGAGTGCTCCTCTTCTCTTTCCTTTCTTCTCTAGATTGAGTTTAATTCATAATACCCAACTGGCGCCCTATGCCTTGGTGAACCGTGACAGGCTACAGAGATGAATATTCATCCATATCCCTTTCCGTCACATCTTACTCATGTGATGCAACCTCTTGATGTTGGTGTTTTCCAACCATATAAACACTGGCATAAGAAAGCAGTTCAACACGCAATGCGGAGCTTAGATATTGATTACAATATAGCCTCATTCTTCCGCGATTTATCAGAGATTCGCAAGAACACATTTAAAAAGGGAACCATTATAGGAGCCTTTCGCAACTCTGGAATGTGGTAAATCAACTCCCAAGAAGCTTTGAAGACAATGGGGGTATATGCTCCTCTTGAGCATCAAGAAAACTGTCAAGAAATTCCAAGAACATCAACGAAATTTATACATTCAGAGCTAAAACTTCAACACTGGCAAGCTAGAATACCAGATCTACTGTCTAATCCATCAGCTCTAGAGTGGAATTCCTGGGCACGCGGTACTGAAAACATGCTTGCATATGGAGAGCTTGCAATCCTACAGCATGATTTACTATCTATAAAGGTTGCAAATCAACAGAAGGCTAAGATCCGAAGTCGCTCTGTTCTTCAGACAACTAGTGGTACGTTAACAGCAAGAGACGCACAGAAAAAAAAAGAAGACAAGGCTAAAAAACATAAGGAATCACAGGAGCGGACTGCAAATTATAGGTTACGGATTGCACTGAGCAAAGTCAAGAAGGCACTCCACAAGTGTGGAGTAGAAGCACGCAAAGCTGAGCAGGCAAGAAAGCGTCAAGTTAGTATTCTGTTAAAGGCAAATAAGGAGGTTCCTCTTGATTTACTAGAGCCAATTCAAGACCCAGAGAAATTAGCTCAAGAATCAGAGCTCCAAGAAAAGCTACCTCCCAGCTAATTTCAACAATGGGCTATTCACAGTCGCAAGTAGACGAAGATGAGGATACTGGTTTTATTAGATTCAGTGGGTTAGATGTGGAGGAGAGCGATAGCTTTTTTGTAGACCATGAGCTTGATCTTGAGGACAATTTGACATTAGGAATAGCTTATCATTTACAGTCAAAAGTCATGGTACATTTATTACGATGGTGGTTGTATTGGAATCTATATACCAATACTATCTGGCGGTGTGCAACTTGCTTTCCGTGTGCAACTTGCTTTCGCCGACCACCTGCAGGGTGGTCGGTGCGAACACCGACGATTAAATCTATTTGCTTGGCATTAGACAAGGGTGGGGGGATGGTGCCAGTGCATATTGGTCTATCAGAAATCAAGGGTCCCGAAGCCCCGAAACCCGAAGCCACAGGGCCTTGATAGCATTGACGAATATAGGTGCGAGTACTCTTGATCTTCGACTGAATTTCACATATTCTACAAAATAATAAGTAGAGCTAAGATTCTGTAGTCTATGAGAGTCAAAAACGACTCTGCTGGACAGTTTACATGCTCGACTGCCAGTTCCCAACTCTACTCAATTTGCCCTCCACCATTTCGCAAGACAAATTATCTGCACTAGAGAGTCCATGCAACAAAGAGTTCTGGCAGGCTCATCAGCATGACACTGGAAATGCTTACTCGGGCCAGCCTCTATCCCGCCATCGATATCTTTCACTACTGGGGTTTCCTGCCAGTCGTGTCGATCATTCTGTAAACCTCAAGGGCCAGTGGCATCAGCAATCTGAGGCACAATAAAAGGCTGAGCTTTCTCCAATGAAGCTTAACCCATCGAGCCAATTTATTGTGCTTCTTGTAATATTAAGTCAGCTTTATGAATATTCTCAAGAAGTAGTACTTGCAGGAAAGATTTGTGGTGGTGATGTTTCATACGACAATAGAGGTACAAATGGCGACTCTACTTATATGGAAATTTCATAGGGACACCGCCAACCAAATGAGAGAAATGCTAAGGGGTCCTTCAGAGACGCAAGGTTGGGCCATCTAGAAGCACTTGCCAAAAGAAAGATGCAACTATTAGGATATTATCACATGTCACTAAGATTCCTAATGTCAAAATTATCAAATTGGGTCAGAATGTCTCTGCAGTCGCTTGATGCGGTATTGCTATGTATAGAAATGATTGATTCACTCGCACCAGTCAATCACAACTCATCCACCAACAAACACTCGATGGTGAGGTATTGTCACGAACGCATCACGTGCGGAGTCATAACACGTGAGCTACGGTGCCAGGACGGAGGAACGTCCGGCCGAAGAACACGTGAAGCCGTAGTATATAGTAGGAACGCGGACCTTCAGAGAAAGGTCAGCGTTCAGTCTCTGTAATCTACAGGATCTATAAACGCATATACGATTGAAGAACGTGATCTCGTACTGCCCTGTTCATTGAAGATCCTTACATTCTGAACGCTCCACTATTCCTGCGATCAGGAAGAACAGCCCAGTACGAAGTCAACCCAGCCGCCATGCCACCGTGCAGAACCCGACGCACCTCCGCTACCAACCCCGAGCATGAGGGTAGTGAGACCGCTCCTGCCACCTCCCAGGAGAAAAGTATGGTAGAAAGTGTGGGCGCTATGGCCCCAGAATGGCATGAAAGCCCACCGGGAATCGAGGCGCAATTGCCAATGGCGCAAGCCTTTGAAGCCGAGCTCCAGAGGGAGCTCGAGCTCAAGGAAACTGGAGAACGGATCCAGCGATTGCAAGAACGGCTACAGGGCCAGCAGACGATCGAACTCGAGGCTGGGCCACACGACGACTCACCCCTAGAGCGGAGCGCGACGCCTGCGAGTTCCGTCTCGCAGGAAGGCGTGCCGCGTAGTTGGCGACCGAGAGCTATACCTGAATACAGGGGGAAGACTGTCCACGAGCACTCTGAATTTATTACGAGCTGTGAGCTGGCCTTCCGCCTAGAGCCCCGGGTCAACAAGTCGGATGAGCTGCGCTGCGACTTCGCAGCTACCTGCTTATAGGAGAACCTCGAGACGCGTGGCTCCGGTACGAGGAACCGGCCTTCTGCAAGACCTGGGAGGGCTTTAAGAGCTTCCTCCTCAATTTAGTACAGGACCCAGTCAACCGCACCATTGCAACAGCGGTAAAATACGAGGAGGCGTGACAGCAGGTCGGACAGACCACGCAGGCGTTCGCGACCTACCTCGCGACTTTAGAGGCGGACCTGCCAGCTTATAAGGGAGAACACCAGGTCCAGCATCTATTCGCGAAGCTTCAGCCGGATGTAAGGGACAAAGTCATTGCCTATCCTGAAATACCCCGTTCCCGAGGAGCACTCATTGCGCTAGCAGCCCGCTTTGAACAGCTAGACGCGTCGAAGATCCAGGGCTCGAGGAATCAGAACGGAGGGAAATCCAGTAGCCAGGATGACCGACCCCATAAGAGGTCACAACCAGGCGCAAATGAGGGCCGGAGCACACCCAAGACGTTTCCAAAGCGCCCCCGCCTCTCAGACGAGGAAGAGCAACATCGGAGGGACAACAACCTCTGCTTCAAGTGTGGTCGGGCAGGCCACATGTCGGCTCAGTGCTTTGCTCAGCTGCCTAGCAGCGAACCTCGAGTGCGGGCTGCAACAAAGGGTTTCGGAAATCCAAAAAACTAGACCCGTCCACTGAAGCCCCAGCGGTTGGAGAGGGGGAGAAGGGGACTGCCCAGGGCTTGTCAACGCTTGTAGACGTGAAGGGGTCAGAGGAGTGGCGGACGATCCACGCACTTGTGGACAGCGGCACCACAGAGAACCTTATATCGCATGTAGTGGCGAAGGAAATAGGAGGAGAGTGGGAGCCGACCTTCGTGACAGCTAAGGGTGTCGGCGACCAGGAAATTCAGCTCTTCGGAAGGGCTCAGCTTACCCTCCGCGTTAAGGATGCTGAAGGGGTGCAGATGGAAGGGAAACACTCCTTTTCAGCAACCGAGCTTGAGGGGTACGATCTTATGCTTGGGCACCCGTGGCTTCTTAGGCGAGAATCCAATGATAACTGGCAGGAAGGCTCGTGGAGATTTCCTGTTGAGGATATCCAATACCTTTCGCATGAAGAGGCGGAGGGCTTGCAGAGTCGCAACGAGCCTGTTTATGTAGCAATGCTACATAGAATAGAAGAGGAAGGGCAAGAGCTAAAGGCTCAAGGAGTCCCAGAAGAATACCGCACATTCCTTGACGTCTTTGACAACGAAGGGGCAGCATCGCTGCCAGAGTACTCAAAGCGTGTGGAGCATGCTATTGATATTGAGCCAGGGAAACAACCGCCTTGGGGACCGATCTATAGCCTCTCAGCAAAAGAGCTGGCGACGCTAAGGGTATACTTAGAGGACTCACTCCAGAAGGGTTGGATTCATCACTCGACGAGCCCCGCTGGAGCGCCAATTCTTTTTATCCCAAAGCCAGATGGATCCAAGCGATTGTGTGTGGATTACCGAGGCCTCAATGTGATAACGGTGAGGAATCGGCACCCTACTCCCTTAATATCAGAGATCCTTGATCGATTGAGTGGCGCAGTGATGTTCACTAAGCTCGACGCAAAGGATGTGTATCAGCGTATGAGAATACGGAAGGGGGATGAGTGGAAGACAGCGTTTCAGACGAGGTATGGCCTCTTCGAATACCTAGTGATGCCATTTGGGCTCTGTAACGCCCCTGCCTCCTTCCAAGCGTACATCAACGAAGCCCTCGCAGGTCTTGTGGATGTATTGTGTATTGTGTACCTTGAAGATATTTTGATCTATTCAAAGTGTAGTGAGGACCACCCGCAACACGTCCGCACAGTCCTTGAGAGGCTTCGGAAGTTCAAGATATACTGTAACCTAAAGAAGTGCAAATTCTCTACAACAGAGGTAGAGTTTCTTGGGTTTATCGTCTCGACAAAGGGGGTCTCAATGGATACCTCTCGGGTTGAGACAATCATGGAGTGGCCGGAACCTACAAGTTTTAAAAATCTACAGGTCTTCCTTGGGTTTGCGAACTTCTATCGGAGGTTCATCGAGGGGTATTCGCATATAGCGCAGCCCCTTACAGGAATGTTGAAGGGAAGTGATAAGGGGAAAAAGGCTGGCCCATTCCATTGGAATAAGGAGGAGGCAGAGGCTTTTCAGACGTTGAAAACAGCGTTTACGTCCGCTCCGCTCCTCCGCCACTTTGACCCGAATCAACCCATTCGTCTTGAGACGGACGGTTCAGGAATGGCGATTGCTGCCATCCTAACCCAGCCGTACACTGACGAAGCGGGGGTCACGCGGTGGCACCCCATATCCTTCTACTCCCGGAAGCTGAAGGACACAGAGATCAGGTACGACGTCCATGACGTTGAGCTTCTCGCTATCGTCGCAGCATTTAAGCACTGGCATCACTATCTACAGGATAGTAAGGACCGATCACAACAATTTGGTCTACTTCATGAAGAAGGCAGCCATTAATAATAGGTAGGCCCATTGGATCGAGTTCCTGGCAGGCTTCGACTTCGAAATCGAACATCGACCTGGCCGTACAAACCCTGCAGATGGTCCGAGTCGTAGACCGGACTACGTCGACCGCCAACATAAGGTGTATGATGGGTTGCTCCCTACGCTTCAGCAGAAGCTGGCACGTGGATGGAGCGAGGTTGCTATAAGCAGCGAGCGTGAGGCGTCACAGCAGAGTACTCGAATCCGCGCTGTATTTGCAAAAGCAAACAGTCAAACGGAAACTAAAGATATCCTCCACGAAGTGGAACAGCTCTCACGACCCCTCCGCAGACAGGGCGCAGAGCAGACACCAGCTGTGATTGCACGGTGCCGAGTGGTACGCGCGGCAGCAGCAGAGTCGCCATACGGGGACCCCCCTGTAGACCTTCAGAAGCTCATCACTCAAGCCCAAAACAGTGATCTGTTCTTGAGCGGGAGAATTCAAAGGATGACGAAGAGGTTGCCCCGTACGGACGGAGTAGAGCGCGAGTGGGCAATACACCCAGTAAGCGGAGTGTTATACAAGCACAGGAAGATGCCATTCCCAAGAGTCCCAGCTCTTATTGAAGAACTCCTACGTATACACCACGATGACCCGCTTGCAGGGCATTTTGGGGTGGCAAAGACCACCGAGCTCCTACAGAGGAAGTACGAATGGCTGGATCTACGGAAAGACGTAAAAGAATACGTTAAGACGTGCCAGGTTTGTCAGAAAATGGTAACGAAGCGGCACCGCCCATATGGCGAGTTGCAGCTGCTCCCACAGCCAAATGGTCCAGGTGAAGAAATCACAATTCTTATCCTGCACTACGTCATCACAGAGTTCGGTATTCCGAAGGGAATTGTATCCGATAGGGGATCAGTGTTCACAAGCAATTACTGGTCCTGTCTCTGTTTCTACCTTAAGATTTGACAGCGATTGAGCACCGCTTTCCATCTGCAGACAGACGGACAGACTGAGCGGCAGAATCAAACGATTGAGCAATACCTACGCTCCTTTGTTACAAGCCTACAGGATGAGTGGGTAGGGCTATTACCTCTAGCCCAGTTTACGTACAACAATTCCTACCACTCTACAATAAGGATGTCGCCATTCCGGGCATTGAAGGGGTTTGACCCGCAGATGCCAGACATAAGTGTCGCGGACGCCCCTCGAAAGGGAGACGCGTGTAACGCTGACTTCTAAACGATAGAAGACACAGAGGTTCTCTTGCGTAAAGGTTTACTTATCAGAGGAGGCAGGGGATCAGACACAAAGGCTTCAAGTAACACGTTACTAGTATATAACAAATACTGTATTGAGTTGAGCACGAAGCTCCTATCTAAGGAAATACTATCTACTTATATAGTGGCGTCGTGCCTAGTGGACTCCTGGGAACTCACTCGAGTCCTCGGAGTCCTGGACTCTTAGGATTCTTCTCATCATCCTGCGAGTCCGTCACGTGCCTAGTGGACTCCTGGGAACTCACTCGAGTCCTCGGAGTCCTGGACTCTTAGGACTCTTCTCATCATCCTGCGAGTCCGTCACGTGATACTTTCGGAACTACTATTCCCCGCTGCCCCTCCAGGTACCAGGGCCGGTCTCATGCGACCTCCCTCCTTCCTGTCCTGTAGTTGGCCAGCCTTCTTGTTCCGTCGTAACAACGCGCCTGAAGCAATTGAGAGGGTGGCTCAACTTCAGGAAGAAAGGGAAGCGATGGCGCGGAATTGGGTGAAAGCCACCCAGGCGCAGTCGAAGCACTACAATGCAAAAAGGAAGCCTATGGAGTATAATATGGGCGACCAAGTATTGTTGTCAGCAAGGAACCTCAAGCTGCGTAGGTCAAACAGAAAGCTCGCAGAACGGTTTGTAGGGCCCATTTAAGGTTGTAGGAATCATCGGTAAACAAGCGTACTGATTAGAACTGCCACAGGAGTTGGCAGTCCACCCTACTTTCCACGTGTCACTCCTCGAGCCCTATTATAAGAGGCAGCCAGTAGTCAGAGAGGCAACAGACGTGCCACGAGTGACTGATGTAGGCAGGGAGCTAGGAGCTTAGTAAAAACAGGCAAGAGCACCCGTCAGATCACAGTAAACAAGAGAAGCCACAACAGAGGGAGAAGAGTGTATTCATCTAGCTACGCGCAAGCAGGGCCGCAGAGGGCAAACAGAAGCAAAACGTGCCTCAAGCGGCATCATCCTCGGTAATCTCACTCTCACTCTCACCCCACCACAGTCTCCAGCTCCCAATCCGGCTCAAGCTCGCCATCGACATGTTCCCGGTCCACGTCGTCCTCGCTGTCAGAAGACTCGTACTCCTCAGCCAGGGCGACGTCAGGAAGGTGGCGGTGCTACAAGGAGTCAGTGGGGTTAGCAGTAACAAGACAGAGGTGATACGTACGATAGCCTTCTGGAGGTCATTGCCAAGACGAGTAGTTCGGCGCAGGCTTCGGACCTCCGACACGATCTCAATGAGGGCGAGGCCGAGATTCACCTTCTGCGGCTGCGAGTCGTGACCCACGCGGTGGCGGCGACGAAGGAGATTCTTGCCTTGCACGATGTAGGCTGTATATTTCTCCTGGACGGCTGCTAAGATCTTAGCACGGCTGTTGGCTAAGGTCTTGGAGAAGGCCTCCTCGTCGTGCTGGATGGCGTCGCGATACAGCTGGAAGGCGTCGGCAAGGCGATTGAACTGGCAGAGAACGAAGGTTGGGATCTAGGCTGTTAGTAAACAGACAAGACGTAGAGGGTCTGTGGACTTACCGGGAGGCACTTGTTATGTTGCTCCACGCAGTACTCGCAGCGGCTCATCGGATTCTTCTTCTCGCAAACGAGGAGTCAGCAATCTCGGTACACTCGCTTAGAGCAACGAAGGCAGAGGTTGAGCTTGGCGTAATGGTGGGTGCACCAGATATGAGAATCTAGCCACCCAAGGAAGGGATGAATTTACTAAGACAACACACTGTCTTAGGAAACAGAGCCAAAGGGTTGTAGCTTAGACTATTCCACAACGCAGCAATTAGGTGTATGATGTGGTGAAGTGGTTTAGACAAGTTGCAACAAATGTTGAGTCTGAGAACTCAGGGGTAAGTCAGAGGTTAGCACCTCACTGACTTTTCAAAAACAGAGAATAACAAGATCAATGCTTGGAAGCTTGGAAAAGACGTAGAAGTATGTGCTAGTCGATTTACTGTATTGCCTGCTTGCCCTTTCTTAAGGAAAGGGCAATCCTATTTATGCCAAAGGAGTGTAGTTCTCTCATTTTCCATGACTTTCCATGACTAACCAGGCTTGGTAAATGTATTAGAAATCAAGTGCGACCCACAACTAGCTTGCTAATCATGTAGTAAACGTGAGAGAATCCCATAGAACCATCTCTTGGGTTCCTAGCCTATAGGAAGTGAAAAGGAGGTCCAAGGTCAGAGTACCTATAGATAAATTATGTCATAACTTAACCAATCTTGTGGGTAAGTAAGGAGCGATGACGTGTAATGAACCATAGAGGGTTGTAGAAGCTTCTAGAGCTATCGCTCATGTTCCTAGGCCTCTATTTGGTAGAGATATGCCATGTGGTAGTATTGGCCCACCCCCTTAAGGAGGAGGTTTTCTTAATAACTTGTTCAATGAGTGTCCAAATGATATGCTGTGATGTATGTAGCATAAACAGATGTAGTAGAAGAGTTTGCAGCAATCGTTGAGTAGTATTGCTTCTGTTGTTGGTGTGATAAGCCAAGATATGTATGGTGACTTGTAGGTTTGAGGAGGAGATTTCTAAGTTTGCTCTTGAGTTTGATAGCAAACTGAGTGCAACGAATGTCAGTATGACACTTGGCCTTCTTGCGAAGGATCTTCGACGGGGAGGCAACTATGACCTCCGAGGGGGTGTTCTGGCAGTGACCACGCGATGGGGTTGCAAGGACACGACGGCGCAGGTCCACCACAGAATCTGAGCGTCCAGGGCGCGGTGGAGAGCGGCCACAGTGACACGGACCAGTGACAGAAAGGTTGCGGGCAGGGCGCGTAGCGTCGTCCTCAACGCTCGAAAGGGGCTCCTCGTCTGCCCCCAGAGAGCTTGAGCAGCAGCTTCCTTCGCTTTCTTGTTCCTGGCCCTAGTGGTAGCAGCTTTCACTGCTGTCGCTTTCTTCTTCTCCAACAAGGCATCAACGGCAGCCAGGCGTTCTGCTTCAGTGAGCCGAGCCTCTGGGATAGCGGCCGCAGTTGCTTTGCCATTGTTCTTCTTTGGGGGGGGCCATGATGGTGAAGTCGTCAGAGTGAGGTCAGAGAAGGGAGACCTACAGATCTATCAGTATAAGGATCCAAGGTATTAAGAACAGTACTCACAACAGAAGGGAAGCGGTAGCTACATGCAACAGAAAGCAGGAAGAAGTTGGTGGTGTTGTTGTGGGTAAAAGTGAGAAGAAGAAGGAGGGAAAAGAAGAAGCGGTCACAACAAAACACCACAACAGTACGGATGTGAAGCGCCTACCCCGACAGCCTTAATCATTAGGCCAGCATGGCAGTGGCACCCTCATCAATAACCTCACTTCACAGAAGTTGGCAACCCAGGGCTCAAAGGGGCTTGAGCCTCAAAGGGGGGGATAATTGTCACGAACGCATCACATGGGGGGTCATAACACGTGAGCTACGGTGCCAGGACGGAGGAACGTCCGGCCGAAGAACACGTGAAGCCATAGTATATAGTAGGAACGCGGACCTTCAGAGAAAGGTCAGCGTTCAGTCTCTGTAATCTACAGGATCTATAAACGCGTATACGATTGAAGAACGTGACCTCGTACTGCCCTGTTCATTGAAGATCCTTACAGGTATGGCATCTTCCTCTGCTACATCACTCTTTGGGCCTTCATCAATGTCGCGCGCAGAGAACAAAAACAGGGGCTCATGCATTTGATAGAGACTAATGATAAAATAAACTCTGGTCACTTTACTGCGGTAGTAAAGAGGGGTCTAATCGAAAATAGCGAAGATACCCCGAATTGCATGGTTTCTTCGTTTGATGTTTCGAGATTGATATTTCGAAGTGCATCAGAGGTGCTCACATGCATGGGTACTTGGCATGTAGCTTTGGATTTGGCTGTCTTGCTATATAAGAGGGCAGAAATGTAATTGAGACCCATATTATGTCTTCATTTATTATATAAAGAAGATTCAAAAAAGAACTGTTGAAAATATTGTTTCGCAATCCACACGGGGAAAGAAACTACTACAGGCTAGATTGAATGTAATGATGTACGGTTATGCTCGCGCTACATCCCACTGAGCCAAAAAGACTACAGTGTTCCGGCTCGCCCAGAATACGCGTAACATGCTTTATATACCACACGTACTGTAACGGTGGCACCCGTTACATTGAAGTTCCCGTCCACTGATTATGGTCGGTTAGACATGTAGCGCCATCAGAAACCATGACACCCATGATTTAGATCCGATATCCTTTTAGCACATCTTACAGCGACAGACTCAATTGAAGTATGGATGTCTTGTTGAATCTGCGCTTGGTAGGTTCAGTAGAATAGTAAATGATAATTCCGGTATCACGAGTAGGTGTCATACTGACATTCGTTGCACTCAGTTTGCTATCAAACTCAAGAGCAAACTTAGAAATCTCCTCCTCAAACCTACAAGTCACCATACATATCTGGGCTTATCACACCAACAACAGAAGCAATACTACTCAACGATTGCTGAAAACTCTTCTACTACATCTGTTTATGCTACATACATCACGGCATATCATTTGGACACTCATTGAACAAGTTATTAAGAAAATCTCCTCCTTAAGGGGGTGGGCCAATACTACCACATGGCATATCTCTACCAACTAGAGGCCTAGGAACATGAACGATAGCTCTAGAAGCTTCTACAACCCTCTATGATTCATTACACGTCATCGCTCCTTAGTTACCCACAAGATTGGTTAAGTTATGACATAATTTGTCTATAGGTACTCTGACCTTGGACCTCCTTTTCACTTCCTATAGGCTAGGAACCCAAGAGATGGTTCTATGGGATTCTCTTACGTTCACTACATGATTAGCAAGCTAGTTGTGGGTCGCACTTGATTTCTAATACATTTACCAAGCCTGGTTAGTCATGGAAAGTCATGGAAAATAAGAGAACTACACTCCTTTGGCATAAATAGGATTGCCCTTTCCTTAAGAAAGGGCAAGCAGACAATACAGTAAATCGACTAGCACATACTTCTACGTCTTTTCCAAGCTTCCAAGCATTGATCTTGTTATTCTCTGTGTTTGAAAAGTCAGTGAGGTGCTAACCTCTGACTTACCCCTGAGTTCTCAGACTCAACATTTGTTGCAACTTGTCTAAACCACTTCACCACATCATACACCTGATTGCTGCGTTGTGGAATAGTCTAAGCTACAACCCTTTGGCTCTGTTTCCTAAGACAGTGTGTTGTCTTAGTAAATTCATCCCTTCCTTGGGTGGCTAGATTCTCATATCTGGTGCACCCACCATTACAGTAGGGCCCAATTGATCAGTAGTAAAATGCATATTCATTTAATCTAGCTACTCTAGCTACTCTATATACTGTAGAACTCTCCTCTGAGTCGCGGGTAAGCAAGTCCGTAGGCTTGACCGGAGTTTGCCCCCGAGTCTATTTCTCATGGTGCGGAGTGAGAACTCCGCTGCCTGATGCTTCGGGCATGGAGTGAGAATTCCACACGCCCCTTCACTCCTTGACTGGTGCTTTGGCACTCCAGTCTTCAAGACCGAGCTGCTGCACAAAGGCAGCGTGCTTCGCTCCATTGAGTGGCTTGGTTAGGCCGTCTGCGGCCAATTTGGTTGTTTCTACATATGAGAAACTGACCCGTTTTTCCTCTACTTCCTGACGTAGGAAATGGTACTTTATGTCGATGTGCTTAGTGCGCTGGTGGAACTCTGGGTTCTCAGTCAGTGCCAAGCTGCCTTGATTATCACCCTCAATCACTACTGGATCGAGGCCTTCATTGTATCCAAGGCTTCTGAGTAGGCTTCGGAGCCATATAGCTTTTCGTGTGGCATTAGATAGCCCATAATACTCAGCTTCTGTACTTGATAATGCTACTGTCCTTTGTCTTCCTGTTTTCCAAGTGATAACTCCACTGTAGAGGAAGAACAGATATCCAGATGTCGAAGATCTAGTATCAAGATCTGCCCCCCAATCAGAATCAGAGCATCCTTTAAAGCCCCTCTTCTTTCCATGGTATGTGACCCCGAGGCCCTTCGTGTGCCCAAGGTATCCTAACGTTCTATAAGCAGCTTGTAAATGGGCTGCTGTCGGATTTGACAGGAAGCGGCTTAGGAAGGATACAGCAAAAGCAATATCTGGCCGGGTCTGTGTCATGGCATACATGAGCGACCCTATAATCGACTGGAACAGCTTGGTGTCTTTTTCTGAAGCTTGTTCTGTATTCGCTTTCAGTGATCTAGTCGCGTTGGTCTCCATTGGGGTCAGCTTTCCTGTTGCTAACTCCATACTGAAGACCCGGAGCACCTTCTCAATATAGCTCTTCTGGCATAGGTGGATTGTCCGGTTCTTTCGGTCTCTTGTAATTTCGATACCGAGGAAGGTATGGCATTGGCCAAGGTCCTTCATGGTAAAGCGTTTTGAGAGCTGGTCTTTCAGCTCTTGAATCACACCTCTGTCGGCTCCTAAGATGAGAAAATCATCGACATGGGTAGCCACATAGACCCCCTTCTGTGGATGCCAGTATAAGCATTCGTCGGCCGGTATCATTTGATACCCAAGTTCGCCGAGGAGCTTCCTCACTTCGAGAGCCCAGAGTCTTGCAGCTTGTTTGAGTCCGTATAGTCCTTTTTGTAGGCGGCAGGCTCTTGTGCCGTTCTCATATCCAGTCGGTAGCTGGATCCAGACGTTCTCTTCGAGACGGCTGTTTAAGAACGCCGTGACAGCGTCCATCTGCTCAATCTCCCAGTCGTGGTGAGCAGCGAGCGCTATCAAGATCCGGATGGCTACGCTCTTCGCGACTGCTGCAAAGGTCTGTTCATAGTCAACTACATAGAGCTGCTCAAACCCCTTTGTGACCCACCGAGCTTTGAAACGCTCGATGCGGCCGTCTGCCCATTTAAGGGCATATACCCATCGCCCCCGATGCACATGAGTGCCTTCTGGGGGCTCTAATTCCTCCCAAGTCTCATTTTTGAGGAGTGAATCATATTCGGCTGCCATGGCGGCTTGCCATTTCTCACTTTCTAGGCATGATATTGCCTGTTTGTAATTCATAGGTTCTATTACCTTCGATGGTGGCGATTTCTTCTAGTCTTTTCTTTGCGCTATAGGCAGTCATGGTGGAAAAGGAAGTTGGCCTTGGTGACGCAGGAGACGTCCATCCCACTTACTTAAGTGATCGAGACGACGCTAGTGGGGAAGGGGGGTACTGTTACGGCTAACCCCACCACTAGTGATAGGAAGGGATTGGCTACGGAACTGCATGTGAGAAATCATAGTCATTGGCCCAGAGGGGACTAAGGGGTTAAGTATCACGTGATGGACCACGCAGGACCACGGTGGTCCAGTGTGGGCCCGGACCATGATGGACCACGATGGTCCTTCATGGCATTTGGCACGACGCCACTATATACTTAGATAGGAGCTTCATGCTCAACTCAATACAGTATTTGTTATATACTAGTAACGTGTTTTACGAAAGCCTTTGTGTCTGATCCCCTGCCTCCTCTGTTAAGTAAACCAACGCAACGAAACCTCTGTGAGTCTTATACGTTTAAGACCCAGCGTTATAATCTCGAGGAAGAAGCTGCAATTCTGGCTGCACTGCCTCTAGTGATGACTTGCCTAGAGGCTATTCGTTTTTCGAATCGATGATAGACTCAGCTGTAGATACCTCATTCACTTGAGCTTTGAGCTTCTAGGGACAGTCTCGAGCTCAATGTCCATTTTGTTGGCATATGAAGCATTTCCCAAGTTTCATGAGCATTTCTTTTGCTGAATCTTGATGCGGTGGTCGATACAGCTTCTGCATCTTGTTTTGCATGTTCGAATCCATTGTAGGTTGAGGGATTGAAGTTTGAAGTGCCTGGCCCTGATTTTGAGTTTGGTCCATGTTGTTCGAAAATGACTTTGGCTTCCTTTTGTCTTCTTGTTCCTTGATCCGCTGGATGTTCTGGTCAATGAGCATGCATTTCTTTGCAAACTCGTGAAGTGTAGTAGCTCCAACTTTAGCCACTAAGGCTTTCTGCATCTGTTGATTGACTTTGAAACGCAAGTCATCCAGCAAAGTTTCTTCAGAGTAATCAAGCTCTGTCATGAGCCTTTGGAACTCAGCCCAGAACACTGCAAAGGTGTTGTTTCTCTGATACAGCTTTCGATACTCAGTTTGAGCTGTGTGCCTTCGATCGGGATCACTGAAGACTTTTTCCAAAAGTTCAAGAATTTCTTCTGCTGTCTGCAATTTATTTGTACAGTTTGGTTGAAGCCTTGGATTGACATGTTGAACTGCCAGTCCTCCCAGTCGACTCTGAATGTAGCTCATTTGTAAAGTCTGTGTTGGAAAATGATCAATGTTGGCTTCGAGCTTGAGGCGAATTTTCACAACCCAGTCTTCCAAATGCTGGCTCTATCCCATCTGTGAGGATTGGAGGGTGTTGAAGTGTATGATATCACTTGCAGCGGTAGTATAAGTATCAAGTTGAGTTGAACAACAGTTCACTGGAATATGTGTTGTATTGTTGTTTTGAGTGAAGCTATCTACAGAACTATTTGTGGGTGGTCCGCAACCCGATTCGGTTGGCGAGCCACACGCCCAACCAATCAGTCTGAGCAACCTCCTCCTTCAACACACCCCTTTGCATGACGGAATTGAGGCTATTCCCATTTCCTAGGCTGTGATCACCTTCATCTGAAGCTG